AATTGAGCGATGATTAAGAGTGTGACCTTCTCTCCACTGCTCGCACACATCTCCCAATAACACTAGGAGTATTCTGGAATGGTGTGAATATAGCCTCACCCACATCCAGAAAATCTCATCTTTCCCTGAAGCAAGTCGTTGAACGAGTCAATTATGTATCCCTTGGTATCTTCTTGACGCTGGTTGTGCCTCGAAGTCTTCACTGGTTTGCCAGGCAGATAACGATTAGCGATAAGGTAACAAGGGTGAACTACGCTCTCACACAATTCTCATCGTTACAAAACTAATAGATTATACGACTAGAATAGTTGAATAATAGCTTTGATTGTATAAATAAAAAAATCCTTGGATATAAGTTGGATTTTACAAGACTTCTGGAAATCACAGGCATGACCGATGATTTCAGTAAAGAAATCGACGAAATGAGCAATTGCTTACTCCCTACCCCATCTCTCCTATTTCCTCTCTCTCGTTTATTCTTCACACATCGTAAATTATCGCCCAGCTATTTGTAAGGTCCTGCGCCTTCCTGTGCTCAGCAGGTGAGTGATTAGATACCATTTATGGGGCTGCGCATACCGATTACCGGAACTGATCATCACTCATCTTCTCGTAATTTTCTGTTACAATCATTTACAAACCAACATCTACTATTTGATACGGTCATATTGATCCCAATAGCGTAGATGGTAACTGTAATTGCATTCAAAGTATTGAATCAATGAAGTGTTGAGAAATAATTAGGGTGGAAGAGTTTGGACGGCAAACGTTTTCGATGAGTACGGAATCATTAAATTTTAAAAATGAAAGTACCACCTCTCTTTTCAATTCTTCACTAATTTCGCATAATTTCTTCCCAAATCTGTTTTTGCACTCACGCGCAAACGCATTAATACATTTCCGCAATGCAGTACGCAGTTCGAGGTAAAACTTTCTCATTTTCTCTCTATTTTTGCAGAAGCAATGAGCAGTATAGTAGAATATTGTGGTTTTCCCTCTTAATGACTTCGCTAAGGTCCTTAATCACTCTTGGAGGTCGTAGCGGTCGTTTTACGCTCGTAAATGCCGAATTTTACAATGTGAGCGTGTAAAACCAATGATTAAGACTTTAATTGGCCTTAATTTCAATTTGACCCTACCTGCGAAGTATGCTTGTTGAAAGTTTAAATAAGCTCTTAAATTCCATGGAAAAAAAGGTAAATTGTAAATCGGCGGCATTCAAGCATATAAAATGCTGTTCAGTTCTGATGATTGATGCAAATATAGATTACTGAAGAAAATGTGATCAACTCTATTGATTTCTGCGTTACTTCCTCGAAACTATTAATCTATCATTAGTCAGCCAGGTTTGCAAATAAGCTCCTGTTATAATACGCTTAGGAATCAGTGGAATCAGAACAAA